CATGTACACGCTAGATAGACAAAGTCATCTTTCTAAAATCAGTTTTAGCTTCTCGGCTTACATGTTTCGCATTGGGCAACAGTATAAACAGTAGACTGAGAGTCTTCCCATTGCTGAGCTCCGTTACAAGACAATGATGTGACAGTTGTCCGTCCTGTACCAGCGGTCATTAGACCGGTCTCACAGTAACTTTCAGGGCATTGTCCTAAAATTTCGTATATGGGCTTCTAGGTCGAAAGGAAGCGGGAACATGCCTGTGTTTCTTGTCATCACTGGGGTGCACACAAATCCTGAGAGACATGGCATTCCTGTATTAGTAAGGGCAGTACATCGATCACATGCTGCAAAATTTCTCATATCATTATGAAAAGTGGTAACTGAATCAAAAGTCAAATGACTTACGAATCTCACACTGCGCTACCGTATACGACGCAGATTGTGCATCAAGCCATTCTGAGTTGACATCACAAGTTAGAACTCCCAGTGGTGTTCTAGCTACATTGCCGGTGAGCATGCCAGTGGCGCAATAGGTTTCAGAGCATTGTGCTAAAAAATTAGCTTTGAGAGACTGTTGGATTTGTGGGATATCTACCGAGCGCATTTTTCCATGCATTGAGAGAATGCGCGTTTTTCTAACCCTCGTTCTTAGGACAAATTTCCCCAACACACTCTCTTCTCTGGAAAAAACGTTGCATACTGTCAAGAAGCTTTTTTCATATTCTATCCAAAGCTGATTTCTTGCTTATCAATGCATATTTCTGTCCATTTTATGACGGGAGTATAGGTTGACACCCGCTATATTTCAAAAAGTTTGTTGCCTATGATAATCCTTATCGCACCAAGAGATGTAGTTTTAAGAAAGTTATGGCACGCCAAATTGAGAACTCGCAAAACGCGTATTACTTTGCGCCAACCTAATATAAACTACAGCAACGAACTTTATAGTCTGGACTGCATTACTATATATGCAAGACGCTTTTGCAAGTGGTCTATGCATACACATCTTTTTACGATAATTCCAGTACAAGGGTGCTTTTAATGCTGTGCACCTCTCGCCTATTACAGTAGTAGATACATAACATTTCCAAATAGGATCTTTAATTCCAGCGCAGACGCAAGCTATTATCACTTGTTTTGATATTTCATGCTATGGAATTTATGAACGAAAAATTCGTACCTTCACGCCGAGTAGCTGGTTCACACAGGAATCCCTTTGGACAATCCATTCCGCTATTGGTCAATACTGTGCATTCTGTGCAGGCTGAAACACTACTTTTAGAACCTCTTTCAAAGCGAGTAAAAGGTTTAAAGTGCTTGCTCGTTTTTTTATCAGGTTTGCGCAAATTTTTTTGACAAGTTATCAAAGAGTAATGCCAGTGGTAATTCAATGGTCACAGCGCTCAGGTATTTTCTGATCCAGAATTTAGTTTTATCTAATTTGCCAGTGATCCTTTCCGACTGTGCACCGAAAGGCAGCTTCTGCAGTCTTTCCTTCCTTTCTCCTATTGTAATATATCTTGTAGATAATAAGTGTGTATATAATACCTACTTGTAACACCGTTACACATCAAGCTAGGGCCTGTACACTCCTAAGATTTGATATGATGTATGAAAATATAATTTTTGTTAGTTTTCCTACAATTCAAGTTTCCTTCCGAAAATGATCACTATTTTTTATGACTGCTACTATGTTTGCTTGCAACTTTGCTCAAGTTCCATCAAATAAAAAATGATGAACTCACATTCTTCGCACTGAGCGGAAGTATAGACTTTATTTTGCTCGTCAACCCATTGTGCATCACCGTCACAGGTAAGAGATGAAACAACGACGTCTCCAGGGGATGCTCTCATGGTTCCAGCGGGACAGCCAGCTACTGGACATTGACCTAAATTTTGATTAAAGTAGCCGCGAGAATTTTACTGAGAGGGCGACATCCTAAACTTTTGAGATTGATTAGTTTCACACTGGATTTGACGCTTTTTTTGGAATTTTCAAAAAGTCCTTCGGTGGAATGGTTCAGATTCGTTTCGCTTACCAAGGATTTTTTGCAACATCTATAATCCTCCAACATTTGTCAAAATTCCGCAGCTGTATAACCATGTCAAGCAAATACGAAATTTTTTTAGCAGTTGTTAGAAGGAAACCAGCACTAACCTGCTTCAGTAACCACTCCTGTGCATACGAATCCCATAGGACATGTCATTCCGCAAATGCACAGATCTGTGCATTGATCGCAAGCTAAAAGTAGTCAATTTATACTTCCAGCTTAGAAAATAGGAAAAAAATCAAAACTCACGATATTCGCACTGTGCGCTACCATAGACAGTATTCTGATCATCAATCCATTGACTCATTCCATTGCATGTCAGTGATGTCAAAAGTATCCTGGTTGGGTTTCCCCTTAGTTCACCTTTTGGACAGTAGCTTTCTTTGCACTCTCCTAAAGTAAAGTATTGTTAAACAAATCATTTTTGCTTCTAGTAGTATTTTTGTTTAATTTTCCACAAGATTATTTGTTATTATTTTATCCGAGACCATTCCATTCTGCAATTTCCTAACTTGTGCACAAGCAAATAACCTTCGTTCTGCTCTAT